ATTTTCCCTTCCCCTTATCGTCAAATTTGTGTCCGACCTGTAATGCACATTTTGAAACACTAAAATGAGGGTTAGACCATGAGGTATAGTGAGAAATCCCTTTAATTGCTATTACAAGGTGAAAATCACCAAAACATTTTTATAACTCTCATATTTGTATAAATAACAAATATACAACGTTTTATGAAAACAAACTTCTTTTGTCACATCAATAAGATAAGACAACACCCATTTATCGCATCAAATAATCAAATATATCATTTATCGCATAACACATAAACTTGACCCATCATGTAGTTAAAACTATAATTTTCTCGCATCACATGGTGATGGGTGAGACAACCATATTTCCTCGTAACACACTGGTACGATAACTCATCTCATCGCATCACACCGGTACGATAAACACATCTTGTCGCATCACAAGGATGCGATAAAAGTCAACTCACCACATCAACAGGATGCGATATCCCAAGTCATCACATCACACATGTGCGATAACTTAAAGTCATCACTTCATAAAGATGCGATAACAAATTGTCTTATGATCAAAAATTCCAAATTTTCACATATAGTTCATTATGTCATCTTTATAGCAAAATATATTTCTCCTGATTATGTCATCCTTATCCCAAAATACGTATCTCCTGATTATGTCACATTTATCCCAAAATACACATCTCCTAATTATACTACCATTATTCCAATCATTTGATATTAACATATCAAAATACAAAATTATGCTAAAAATAGCATAATAACAGTTTTCAAAACTCCTCATATAAAGAACCATACGGTTCTGTTTTAATCACTGTAAAAGGAAAGTTTATAAAATAAAACTCACCTTGAATTTATAAAATGAAGATAAACAATCGCAACATTTTGGGTTCAAAATCACATAATTCAGTTCTTTTTTCCCTTTTTGGTTTCTGTTTTTGCTTAGCACTCAAGGAACAGATAGAAGTTTTATCAACTTTTCTTTCTTACTTACTTTTTCACCAAATCCCCGAGAGATAACATAAATATCTCATCTAATAACCGCTTAAACAAATAAGACAGTGGTGGGGTTTTAAAAAACATTTAAGAATATTTACAAAATTAATCCCCTAACTTACCACCCTTATTCAAAAATAACCTCGAACTTTTATAACAGATAAATCGGTTATCATATTAAACCAATTAAAAAACTATAAATAAATAATTGTATTTTAGTTATTTTTACATATATTAAAGAAATATATCATTTAAAAAATTAAAGTTAGGGAGTGTCTGAGATTGCTTATAAAAATAACTTATTGACTTATTTCGATGTGATATCGGTAATAAGCACTTTTGAGTGTGTGGATAAACAACTTATACCGGTGTCAAACCGGTAATAAAGAAGTTAAAACTCTTCTGACTTATAATAAGTTAATAAGTGCTTTTGTAGAAAAACATAAGTTGTTTCAAATAAGCAATCCCAAATACCCTCTTAATATGAGAAATATAAATTAATAACTGTATTTTGACTTTGCTATAATAATGATAAATAAATAATATAATATAATCATTTATAAAAAAACAGGAAGATGAGGTTTTTGTTAAAAACTTATATTGTAGAATTTTACAGAGATAATACTGATATGACAGGAACATTCGCTATATTTTTTTTAAAATAAAATATTAAAAGTTAAATCTCTAAAATAAAATTACATATATATATATATATATATATTTATTTATTTTTACCTCTTAATAGCTTCATTAAGAGGCAATCTCTGAATCGTTAAGAGGTAAATTTTGTTTGGCAAAAAAAAAAAAAATTGTCTCTTAATGGTTCTAAAACTTTCTGAATGATTTTGTATCTTGAGTCTCCCTTAACCATTAAGAGCTCTAATTTGATTGTAAACAATTACCAAACAGTTATATTTTATTTTACACTATATTATGAGAGTCTCTTAATCATTCTGACTACTTAATGATTTTGCACAAAACCATTCAGCAATGCCAAACAGCCTCTAAATCTAACAACTACTTTATTTTAGCAATTATAATATTAACTATATTATTAAGATATTTAATATATTTAACAAAATATTAATTTTTTTCCCCTAAACATTTTCTCCATGTCGGTTGTTGGTGGGAAAAAATAAATTATTATTTATTTATCCCATATAGAGTTTTAGAGAGTTCTCCAAATTTAAAAAATTTCACTTTTGACTGTTTGATAATTATTGAATGGTTTAGTGTAAATGATTAAGTAGTCAAAATGATCAAAAGACTTTCATAATATAATGCAAAATGAAATATAATGTTTGGTAATTGTTTATAACGAAATTAGGAGGCTGAATGGTCAAGGGAGGCTTATGATACAAAATCATTCAGAGAATTTTAGAACCATTAAGAAACAGACTTTTTTTTATAAAAAAAAGTTGTTAAATTTCTAAAATACCTATTTTTAACTGATATATTTGTTGAAAATGCTCTAATAAACTAAGTTATAAATGATATTATTTATTTCTTTTAAAATTTACTCATTTAAAATATAACCATTTTATTTAAAATTTAGCCGTTTTAAAATTATTTTATTGTACCAAATTAATTATAAAATATTAATTAAATGTAATAAAAAAGAATGGCAAAAAAAGCAAGAGGCTCAACAAAATGAGTATTTTACATCCTCAGCTCTCAGACCGTCGGCGAGGGAAAAACAACATGCAAATAAATCTCTCACCATAAAATTTGCGGATTCCGCCATTTTCGAGCTTGCCGATCTCTCTAAAACTTGGATACGCACATTCATACCAATTAACGCAGCGTAATATTCACACAGAATCGCCGGAAACTCTCATTCTAATCGACCGGTGAGTTGTTTCTCGGCGGAAATCTTTACAGGTAGTAGTTGCTGAAAATTTTGTGTACAGATTCGTCTGCAATAATCTCAGAGGTCGGTGTTTCTTCGGTACCGTTTTAATGTATCTGTTAATGATCTATGATCCTTTATTTGCGTAGAGTTGTAGCGTAAGATCTATTGATTGTATGTTAAACGACGTGAGCAAGCATTGGCACTAGTTTTGCTTCAAATTTCTGTTACGAATTTCATTGATTATCGCTATACTTGTTTCGCAAGGTTGCGTTTGCTTGCTTTGATACGTGCAATCGTTTTCTGTTTCGTTTTGCATTTAAACAGATTTAGCAGAGGATACAGGAGAATTTTTCAGGAAATTACTTGGATACCTATCCTGGAAATTTTGGTTTTGCTTTTGTCCTTTCTAGTTACAAATTTTGTTGAGTTTTTGCTTGATTTACATACATATACACGAACATGCAGATATATTGTGTGTGTTTTGATGTATTGCAGCCAGGGGAATTATGTTCTGACAACTTTTGTCTCTGTCACACACACAAAATTGGTCAATTGGCATCTTAATATTTTCACATGTTGAGTACAATTGACAACTAGCAAACCAGTTGAATTGTCATTTTCAATAGCATGGTAGCTAATAAGCTGCTGGTATAGTTGTTTTGAGCACGGTAGCAACTATAGTGGAGGACTAGGCTAAACTCTAGAACTTACCATTTATGGATTGAACTATTATGCGAAGTAATGACTGGTTTATGGCATTTTTTGTGTAGTTTCCATACGGTCAAATCACTTCCATTATCCTTCTAGCATTAAAATTGATGTAAAACCATATTGGTAGTTAATTCAAGATAATACTTCAAATTGGTCCTGATTTTTCTTCCTATGGAACTGATTAGAAAGAAAAGTATTAGCTGATGGTTGGTTTCTAGCTGCTTCAGGTTATTAGCATACAGGAAATTGTAAGATACATGTTCACTGTCCTGGAAGTGCTATCTTGTGGCACAGAGCAGCTGTTTTTATCCACCATTTTATTTTATTCCTTAAATGTGGGAGAGGAATTGGAGAGTGAGACATGCTATCTTGTTTAGTTGAGTACCTGGTTAATGCATCTCACTTCATGAGATATGTTTACCTAATTAGATCATCATTCAATTAACTATATGAACAGTTTTCAAATTTAAGCAAGCTAAGTGGAGAAATTTGAAAGAGCCTTATGATCATTACCAAACTTTAAATATGCTCTTGCTTGAGTATGCATAATATCTGAAAACACCAATAATTGTTAACCATGGTTTCCGTTATGGGTTTGTACGTGATATCTGTTGTGCTTTACGACGCTTACTTGTAAGAGAAATAGGAGCAGATTAAAGAGGACATGGAAATATTGTCCCCCTAACAAAGAAGTGCCATGGATAATTATTCAACTTTGGCTCCTCTAGTCCCCTTTAAGTTTTTTTTTCCATCTACAGCCAATGATTCTCATATACACATGGGAAGTCAGGGAGATGGAGGGACAATGGTCAAAAAGAGCTTTCTGTAGTTCAACAACCAAGCAGAACTTGTGGGGTCATTGCTCTATGCTTGCTCAACTGAGAAGGAACTGTGAAGGCTAATGTCCTAATTTTGTATATCATGGCCTCCAGTTTCATTGTAAAAATAAAAGGAAAATAAAGTTTGAATTACTGTCAAGTCTTCAGACATGAACATAATTAACTCTTTGTGTGGTATATATGCATCTAGTGCTAAGATAGGAGCAATATCAATGGTGTCCGTCGTGTCATTGTCATGTAATATTAGCCAGTTACCGAGTTGTTTAAGGTGGAAAATTTTGTGCTTGTCTTTTTTTTTCATTTTTGGTTTCTCTAGGTGGGTGTGGGTGAGGTTGGGAGGGATATCCGTCGCTGTTTTTTGTTTTATTCTAGATTGAAGCTTGAAATGTTGTCCAGTAGCGCGTGCACAAAGCTTTCTAATGCAGCACATTATTTTTACTGTTCACTTCACTGATGTGACATGAATTCTAAATATTAGCAGGCCTTAATCCTATACCTATTCTCTACAATCATTTTTTGTCTAATCTTCAAATGAGATTAATATTTGCTATAAATTTTATGGCTGCAGTTTGGTATGAAAAGGCATACATGAAAAAGAACTGTCTATGAGGGGGTTTAGATCATGGAGGAATCTTACAAGGAGAAGACAAAGCCATAATGGCTGCGTAAGTTTATGTGACAATACTAGTATCTAGTTTTGTTTCTTTGACAAATTTTGTTGATCTACGTTATTGAGATTGTTAAATGGATCCTAATGATCAGGATCATCTATAAATGCAGGCACTTTGTCGAGCCAAGAAGAAACCATTCATGGTGGTTGTCTGTACAATAATGTTGTATATTGCATGTAGAACAACTTACCAGCATTTACATACAAAGGTATGGAGCCGCCATAGGGGCAGGTTTGGTTGAGAAGCTGATTTCCATTAAGAAACGGGGGACAATGAGAGCGCGCCACGTGTCCAGGACATTCACAGACATTCACAGACATTCATCATGAATGCTGTAAAAAGTTCACATCCGTTATTCATAATGAATGGGGACACATGTTGCGCTCTCAGTTGTCCCCTGGTTCACAACTGAACTTTCCTCTATGTATATAAATGTCAAATATATATTACATTATGAACCTTGTTGCAACTACAAAGTATATCACAGAGTAGCATCGACTAATATGCCAAAAGGTGGAACTTTGGCAGTCATTTCATAAAAGTTCAGTTATCATTGCCACAAAAGCTTGTGTTTTACATATATATAACCAAAAGCTGGGTGCACTCGGTGAATGAGAGAGTGTTTGTATCAGTAAATACTGCTACAAGCATCCCAATGATGGCATTCTGCGGCAGTAAAGAATTGCTACAGATCCCATAATGTGTATCATGTTCTAGATAGAATTCAACATCCTTTCTCTTGCATGATACTATGATAGTAAGATTTTTACTGCATTGTGATAATCTGTTCATACTAATATAATAGTATGTTGTTTGGATGCTAATTAGTCTGTTGTCTCACAAGCTTTAACATGGTTAAGAACTTAAGATGCTTTAACCACATGGGTTGTGGTGTAGTGGTTGAGGCCATGGGGGATGTGGTGGAATATCCCATCTGCCCGGGGTTCGATACCAGGCCGGCGTACACAACAATAGCGGCCACTAAGTTATCAAACTCAGGGCTGATTTCTTGCAGTCACAATTTTCCGGGATTAGTCTAGGCATAGCTTGGGACACCCTTCCGAATGTAAGGTGCTTAATAGACTTCCAATCTTGTCTGCATGGCTTCACTAATATATATCCTTATTCTGTTTTATCATCAACTGGACTCAAAATTCCATCTATTCCAAACATCAAAGGTACCTTTTTAAGTCACTGGTATATCCTGGTTGTTTTTTATGAAAAAATAGCACTCTATATAATACTACTTATTGTCCAATTGAAACATATCAACTATCTGCTTCTTTATGTTTTGGGTTCAAAATAGCATGAAACTAATGTGCTTCTTTTGATCGTCTCTAGGTAGCTTTCACAGGCTTGAAGGGTTTACCTTATGGTATTATTGAAGCTAACTCTGACTTGGAATTAAAACCTTTATGGTCAGCAAGTAGCTCAAAATTGAAGGTGATTTCGAGTAGTCTGGTCATATATTTAAATGTGTCATTCTTTTCTCACCAGCAAGGCTGTTCATAGCACATTCTAAACCTAATTTATCTTTTGTTCACTGATTTACCTTTCTGTTAGGCTTACTCTGCAGAGCATACTTGTACAATTAATTCATTTTTTTAATTTACAAAATGTTACGTATGACAGGCTAATGTTCCCCATCCGCATAACTTGCTGGCAATGCCAGTGGGTTTGAAACAGAAGCAGAATGTGAATACCATTGTTCGAAAGGTATGCAGTAGATAGTATTTTCATATTCACAACTTGATATGTATATCTTCGATATTCATTACATGGACAATACTGAACCAGCTTAGTGTTTTCAGTTTCTTAAAGAAAATTTTACAATTATTTTATTCCATTACGACGGGAAAATGGATGAATGGTGGGACCTCAAGTGGTGTAACAAGGCCATACATATTGTAGCTGAGAACCAAACAAAGTGGTAAGATTCACTTCTATCAAACGAACTCTTTTAGAATGTATAGCACTATTGCAGCTATTCTATGTTTACACTAATAGGGTAGTTCTTCAGCATGTCAAACAAGAAAAAGTTATCCAATTTCAATAGTAGTGAATCTACAGCAACCACCGAACTCTCATCCATGTTCAATCGAAAGCAATTGTGATGAGTTAGAGCATCTCCAACAGATTCTCCGAAAGTTCTCCGAAATGGAGAACCAAAGTTCAAAATCTTTAAAAGAATTGCATTCAACTCCAAGAGATTCACCATTTTGAGGATTACATCATTAATTATATTATTAAAGTATTCCATACATTTAATTAAATATTATTTATCTCTCATAAACAATTTCAAGGTTATCTATTGGTGGAATATAATAAGAAATCATTTCTTCACATGGTAATCATTTTTGAAGACATCTCCAAATTTGGAGAAATTTACACTCTTTCTCCTACTTTCTCCATTTTGGAGAATCTGTTGGAGCAAAAACTTGCCCAAAATCCCCATTTTCTCCATTTTGGAGAATCTGTTGGAGATGTACTTAGATGGTTGCCACAAATTTTCCCTTTAAAGAGAACAGTGTCAAAGTATAACTAATTGAAGTTGATCTTCATATATTGAGCCATATAAAACATCAAGGATACATGTTGCATGTAAAAATTTAGAAAAGATAAACCTCTCCCGTTTCAACATTTGAGCCTGGAGGTTAGTTTTGCATATATATTAGTCAGAGAGCCATAATCTTACCCTGCTTGAACTTTAAACCATTATCTTTGCATATCTGGTTGTTAAGCTAAAATTATGATCACTTGATATTGCACATGTTGGAACTTTACGTAGAAAGTAATAGTCCCATAAATTAGTAAAGCTCCTTGTTTGGTTGTTACCAGAAATCGTCTAATTACTGTATCTAACGGCGGCTCAGGTGGTTTGCAAAAAGGTTTCTGCATCCAGCTGCTGTTTCAATTTATGACTACGTATTTCTTTGGGATGAAGATCTAGGAGTGCAGCATTTTAACCCCAAAAGGTACCATTGATCTACCTGTTACATCATCGTTATTTATCTTTTTCTAATTGTCTGTATTTCTCCAATGCCGTCATTTGGTAAAAGATCGTCTCACTATCACGCTTAACTATACATATACATATGATGAAATCTCAATTTGCGTTGTCTGTTATACCTATTTTTATACACCGAGTTTTGTTGCTTATGGTAATGGAAACGCTGCTGCACAGTTGCCCCCTCGTTTCTTTTGCAATGAGTACGACTAACAGTCTGCAATGGAAGTAAACATTATTCTTGGAAGACTAATATCACCAGAACTTTGTCTGGTTCCAAATAGTGAGCTAAGGGGCTTTTACTTCTTTTGGCATTAATCCCTGTATGGGTTAAGTTGTATGTTTGAATAAATTTGTCTGTCTAAGGATGGCAGACCGATGGGTTTGAGGGAGGCAAAGAGAGGATTGAATTATTTCTGGGAATTTTTGGTATTAATTTGTTTGAGGTGGCTTAAGGGGGGCAAGTGAGGGTCATGTCTTATTCCATATAGCGTTCTTAGCTTAATGGCTAAACAATTAAGCCATAAAGAAACACTCCTGCATGGCTGAGCGAATAAGCCTATCAGACCATTAAGCTCATTAAGCTGTAAGTAAACAACCCCTAAGAGCACCTTCAATGGAGCTTTTTTGGACATCTAGACATGTGAAAAAGCCACTAACAAGAAAAACCCTCTTTTCGCTTGTGCAGTTTCAAACTTTCAATAAGCTTGTACTTTGCTTGTGGGTCCTATTTCTTTTGGAAAATAGTAGAAAAGGCTGTAATGAAAAAGTCCACCATGTGTGGATGCTCTAATGTGCCTGTTGATGATGTCAAGGTTGAGGCAAAGGGAAATTGATTTTGTTGATGATGTCCATGTCTAGATTATCTCATTAAGGTTTCATCATAGGTTGCCTGGCTTGATTGTTATTCTTTCCAGAGTATATTAGGATTGATAACAATACACCAACAATAATAACTCTGGAAACAACAAGGGTTGTGACGTAGTGGTTAAGGTCCAGGAGGATGTGGTGGAAAATCCAATCTGGCCCGTTCGATTTCAGGCATCCACAACAATTGTTGCCTAGCTATGAAAGGAGGAAATCAAACCAAGCAGCGGACTGGCCCGATAACTTCGTATTCAACTTAAAACATGGTGGAGTTAATTGGTAGCCCATAGTTTGAGGCTTATAAGCAGTTCACATATCTCATTTTCTATCCATGTGGGACGGGTTGTTACAGTAGTGCTCTGGTGTACAATCAGAATCAAGCTCCATATCCAGCACCATTATCATTTTCAGTTTTCTTGGGTCCTTTGGATAAATGACCGTAAATGAGTTTTCAGTTAGTAACATGACCTTCTAATTCTTTTAGCTCAATAATGGTTCAAAACAGGGGTCATTTAAGGATACGACTTTAAATGAGTTTTTAATTAAATCCATGACCTCCTGGCCTATATAAGAAAAAATGGTTTTATACTCGTTAGAAGGTCATGGATTTAACTAAAATCTCATTTAAGGTTATATACCTAAAAAACTCTTCAAAAGTCTGCTCCCGTAAAAACTTAGAAATACACTAGAGGGGTTAGATTTTTAAAGTCAGTTTTTGAGGAGGTCACTCAGTTAAAATATCCCCTTTTTAATATTTGCAGATACTTGGATATCGTTAAAGCAGAAGGACTGGAGATATCTCAACCAGCTTTAGATCCAAACTCAACAGATATACATCATAGAATCACAGTAAGGAAAAGAAAGAATAAGTTCCATAGGTAAAATGAACATGTTCATGCCTGTTCATATAATATGAACATCTTCATTAGTTTTTCCATAACACTAATGCCTGTGTACTTGCTTATATACAGAAGCCTTTATGACCCTAAAGGTAGCACGAAATGTTCGAGTACTAGCGTGGGGCCACCATGTAACGGGTAAGTAGCATTCATGCAATTCCTTCATGGACTTGAGTAGCAACATTGTTTTAAGTTGTGCCTCAGAAGGAACTCTTGTTATGTTTTTTTGCACCTGCTCTATTTGTATGTTGTATTTGTTTATATACTCTTTATGTAGAAGACAAGTCTTTGTACATTCCCACCTTCATATCCCACCTCCGTGTGGAATATCCTATTATCCTGGGAGTTCCAACATGTAGAGAAGAAATCGTCCAAGTCTAGCCAATATGGGACTATGGCATGCCCCCTCCAAAGGAGGCTAGATCGACATAGTTAATTAGTTATCCCTGAGTGTTGAGAGGGGGCTAGACGAGTACAGATTGTCCCAGTATGTCAAGTCTCTAGAGTGGTAGACCTTGGCTCTGCTACCATGTGAGAATATGTGGAACCTCATATTGATCTCCAAAAGGGCTTTTGAACTTGATAAAATGGTCAGATGTAGAACTATTTGACTTGGTCCTCAGGAGGAACACTAAGGGCCTGTTCATTAGCAGTTTAATTAATGAGCTTAATGAGACTCAAAACTTATTCGTTCAGCTATATGTGACTGCTTTTGGTAGTGGCTTAAGGATATAGAAAGTGGCTTATCCGGTAAGCTTCTAGGGAGGAGCTTTATGCAGAAAGCCAAGTTTTTTTTCTTCTAAACTTGTCCCTTCTAATTAAAAAACACAATCCTTCCGTCTATGAGAAAACCTTCACAAACATAAACCTTCTCAATCTATACAGGTTAATCCACACACACAGCATCATCCACACATGACTTTGGAAAACCAACAAACAACCCCTTAAATCCCTTTCTAGATTCAGTATAACTGTTAATAAAATTGCATGCAAGTATTGATAGTTTACAACCTCTTTGATAAAGTCTGGGTAGAAATGCTTTTTTTATGTCCTCTGAATTTTCAGATTTGTAGAAGGAATGGCTCCAGTGTTCTCCAGAGCTGCATGGCATTGTGCTTGGCATCTTATTCAGGTTACTTTTATCATTATCTTTGAGCACTAGCATGAGGTTATGTTTTCTTGTACCCGCTTCTATTTGTATGTCATTGCTTATTACTAGCCACCTTTGCAAAACTTCATCTTATCTGACATTCTCTCTAAGGTCACACTAGTTATACTTATTATTAGTGAAATTGACCAAAATTCTTCACCTTTTAGCCTACTTTTTCTTAATTTGACCAAAATAGCCAAGATTGTCCCAAGTGCCCATCTCGCAAATGTATTTTTTCTGAATTAAATATGATTCAAGTGGTGTCGGATTGCGAAATTGGTGAGGCCGCTTGAGAAATGTCCTTCTAGCCTGTGAAATGGCCCATGGGAATCATATTTTATTCATAAAAAGTACATTTCACAAATCACGAAATGTACTTTTTTGAATTAAATATGATTGTGGTGGTGTTGGTTTGAGAACTTGGCGTGCCGGCTTGAGAAATGTTCTTTTGGCTTGCGAAATGGCCCACCAGAATCATATTTTATTCGTAAAAAGTGCATTTCACAAATTTCAAAATTTTGGCTATTTTGATTCAAATATGAAAAAATTGACTAACAATAAAAAAAAGGGTTCGTCCAAAATGGCTAGTTTGGTCAATTTCCCGGTTATTATGGGTCCAACATGAATTTTCGGCAATATTGATTTTTTTCTTCTTTAATCTTGTTCATTCGTTTTGTTTTCATTTCGTGTATAATTCCCTTCATGTACTTCCAGAACGACCTGGTTCATGGATGGGGAATGGATATGAAACTTGGATATTGCGCACAAGTAAGTTCTACATCAAAAAATCTACCTTCCATTTTTGGTCTTTGGATAAATTTCACGGAAATGCAACGTATTTTAGTCTGATTCTTATTTTATATACTGTATTTTCAAAATCTTCAGTTTGGTACCTTAGATGTGACATTTAAAACATTTACGGACCTGATTTATTAACGAGAATGCTTGAAAATACAACTTACGTTGGTCTTATTCATATTTTGTTTAACATATTTTGGTAGAAGTGAGTAAGATATCACATTTGAGTTACCAAGATGAAGGGTTTGAAAGTGCGTTATACAAAATAAGAATCAGAAAAAAGTACCTTGCATTTTCATATAATTTGGCCATAATTAAATATCTAAACCATTCGTTAATAATGACAAAGAAGAATTTTGTGAATCAAAACTAATGTTATGATTATACTTTCACAATTATATCAATTACGTGATTTCTAACTATTATTAATCAAATAAACTACATTTTCTTGCAACTTCGTATTCGGGATTATTTGTTCTATTACAGTATAATGGAGCTTTTTGTAGAGCTTATTGTAAAGTTTTTGCCATCTAAACATGAAAAAGTCATTGATAAGAAAACCCTCTTCTCCATAATACAAGTTTTTTAGTAAATTATGTTTTTCATCAATGTGGTTTGTTAAAAATTACGATTTTTGTCCCTGTGATTTAGAAATCGCAGTTTTCATCCCTATTTTTTATAATTCACTGTTATTTTCATCCTAATGATTTACAATTTAGTGTTCTTTCAGTATTTGTGGTTTATAATTCTGTACTATTTTGATCCCTTATACTTTAAAGATAGGAATTAGTTTAAAGACGAAAATAACAATAAATTAGAAAGCATGTTAACGAAAATCAATTTTTCTAAAACCACATAGATAACTTACTTTTTTTTTAAAGTTGTTTTATTTGTTTATGAGTCCCACCTTTTTTTGGAAATAGAAAATGCTCTAATGAAATCTCCACCATTGATGATGCTCCTTGTACTATAGAGATCTCCATAACAAAAAGTCAATAATCTAATATTAATATGTGTCAACATATAATTAGAAACTTATAGCAATCATTTTTCGTTTGTGTACTCCCGCACCTTCATATGTGAATGCACAACCAATTTTCGTTAGTCTCATGTACTCAGGTGTTACTTTTTTCATTTGTTGTTGTTTGGAAACAGGTTTTTAACATTTAAGGGTCACTTGATACAATAAACTAATCTTTGCCTATTTCAGGGGTTGAAAAACGTGGGAGTTGTCGATAATCAATTCGTTTTACATCAAGGGTTACCGACTTTAGGTGGACCTGCTGCTAAAAAGGTTCCCCCTTCTTCTTTAGTGTCATTTAATGGAAAATAGAAATAGAATCGTTAACTGAAAACAAACGAACCAAACACTCCCTTACAATTGAAACCAACAAATTTGGCTTTTCATTACAACAAACAATGTTCTTTCGAACTAAGCAAAAATTTCTTGTTCAAACACAAATCTTATTTTTCTCATTGTCGTGAACTGAAACATTTGTATTCAATATTTCCTTCTACGATAGACAGTATTGTTATAAGAGCATCTTTAACAAAAATCTCATAGAAATTATTAAGGTTTTTTTTTTGTAAAGGTTGACTCTAAGGGGCTGTTTACCCAAATACTTACCCGGTAAGTGTTTATCTATAAGATTCAACACTATAATTTATTTTGATGAGTAAGATTTGTTGTAAACTTGTAAACTCACACAGAAAATAAGAACAAGAATAAATATATAGAGAAGAGCAGGAGAGGAGACCAAAGATTGAAGTCTTTATTGAAAAGCAAATGACAAGCCAAAAGTACGAAAGAAAACTCTCTT